TTATTATTATAATGAGGGGATGGAATAATGATTGAAGAAAATATAGAAACATTTAGTTTCTCTAATTTTAAAAAATATAGAATTTTGATCCTTCTATCAAATTGACATTTACTAATTATACTTAAGTGATGTAGCATTTAGGAACATGATATTTGGAGATTAAAAAAAATCATGCAAATAAGATTTATTAATAAAATAAATATCAAATACTTGTTAAAATATATTCAAACGTAGATAATTTTTTGTTATTTTTTTAAATTTTTATATTTACATGTCACATCAATTAAGTGGTGATCGATCATCAAATAACATCAAAATTTAATGATCAATAAATACCATATTGATGATAGGATAAAAACACTAATTTCATCTCTCCAACCACTAGACTAGCTCTAATGTTCACAACTAAATATTTTTATTTCAAAATAGAATGACAAATTACAAATTAATAAAAATAAAGAGACCAAAAATATAATATAACTTAAAATATAAGATAATGAAATAATTTAAAATATATATATTTTAATTAATATTTAAAAAAATTATAAAGGAATATTTATATAAAAATTTAGTTATTACTTTTATTCCTATGTATAAAACTCAAATACCTCAAGATTGAGAAAAGTAGTTAATCTAATTAATATGAATAAATTTATCTTACTTTTATATATTTTTTTTCCAAAACTATCATTGTACTATTTTTCTCTCTTAATTAATACTTATAATATTACTTACCCTCTTAACAAATTATAATTAATACATCATAATATAAATTTAAAAAATATATTTTAATTAAGAATATTTTAGTTTAAAAACAACTAATACATTATGAATGAGATTTTATATAATGGAACAATTATATATATATATATATATTAATTATTTTTGAATGAATTTAAAAGGAGTGAAACAACATTTTGTATATCTAAAAAATTAAAAGTTATAATTATCGGTAAGAACTAACTTGCAATTAATAAATAAATAATATTAAATGAAGTGTCAGGTAAATATACGTGTCGGTACACTATTGAAAATTAGTCGAAAGTACACTATTCACGTACACTTATAAATAAGAGAATCAAGAGAAATGTTTCATACATCACTTTTAATATCTTTCTAATCTACAATCCTATTCATAGATAACATGGCTGCTTCATCACCATCGTTAAAGTTTGCAGTGCGTAGGTCCCAACCTGAGTTGGTGGCTCCTGCTATACCCACTCCTAATGAACTTAAACCACTATCTGACCTAGATGATATATACATCCTACGTGTCCAGGTCCCGGTGATTCAAGTTTATCGTAACGAACCATTAATGGCTGGGAAAGACCCGGTTGAAGTGATTCGAAAGGCACTGGCAAAAACACTTGTCTTCTATTACCCATTTGCGGGTAGGCTTAGGCAGGGTCCTGGCGACAAATTGATGGTAGATTGTACTGGTGAGGGCGTCTTGTTCACTGAGGCTGATGCAGACGTAACACTTGATCAGTTTGGTGACGCTGTCCACCCTCCATTCCCATGCTTTGAAGAACTACTGTACGAGGTTCCAGGCTCTCGAGAAATTACAAATTCTCCCCTTCTACTTGTACAGGTTCAATATACATATTGTTAGAAAAATAGTTAACATATACATACATAAAAATGAATGTTTCATAAAGTTTTGTTCGTCCCTCCTTTATAGCTTGTTGATGTTGGATGTTAAATGATGACAGGTGACACGCCTCAAGTGTGGTGGTTTCATCCTAGCCTTCAACTACAACCACGCCATGAGTGATGGGGCTGGTATTGCACAATTCATAAGGGCTTGGGTTGAAATAGCTCGAGGTCTAAAAGAACCTTCCATTCCACCCGTGTGGCAAAGGGAGCGCCTAATGGCAAGAGATCCACCTCGCGTTACATGCAACCATCGCGGATACGCATCGCAAGTCCAACGCACCAAGGAAAGTGTAAACGATACCCTCACGTCAAACGGGAATGACATGGTTCTCTAAAGCTCCGTCGTATGATCAAGCACGTTTTCAACTTCATGTGATTAGTTTATCCTTGCAGACCAATGATACCTACACCAACAAACGGCAAAAAAAGAGGATATCAGTACAATCAACATAAGCAAACAACAAAATCTCGACAATGGAGGAAGTGAAAGCATCCACGAGAGTGACGAGACAATATAGATTCTAAACAGCTGACAAAGGCGGTCAAATATTTAGTCTTTATAAAGATCTTTGGTAAGTTTAATTTGTGGCATCACAACCACATCAAAAATTGATATTGCATGGGAAATAAGGAACGTCAGAAAATACGGCATTTGATGTCACAGTCTACGCTTACCACAAGCTACTCTGGCACCGGCATTTCCAGAACGCTTGCTCTCCTCGTTGCCACCTAACACAAGACACAATTCAAGTTGATGGGTCGTACATAAATATAATGAGATTTACTATTAATTTTTCTTTCCTAACAGGACAATATCATGTTCTTTACTAAGATGAAATGATCCAAATCCAAAAAGAATACAGAATATCATAAATAGAGGATCAATGACTCAAATGCTAAGTAATAAAAACAGATCAGTGGATACCTTTCCCAAGATCATCAGGCCCAGCATGGACAACAACAGCCCTTCCAATGATGGAGTTTGGTCCAGTGAGAGGAATCTGTGCACATTCAATAACTTAATAAAAATTGAAACTTCTAAGTATTGGTGTCAGCCTAGAAGAATTCATCAGACATATTGATTAGGAGATGAATAACATACCTGACTGACAGTAATAGAGAAGCTGACTTTTCCTGAGTTTCACAATGAGAGGGAACCATTTTAAAATAAAGACCAAACAAGCATGTGGTACGATAGGCCAAATAAACAAGCTCTTTCAAAAGATGAACTATCAGCAAACTAGAAAGAAAGAAATCTTGATTACCAACAATCTTTCCAAAACATGGAAAAGTTCCTTGTATAACCTCCAGCCTATCTGTTAACTATGTAATCAAACACCTCTTTGTAATGCTAAAAGTTTTCTTTTTTTAACACAGGAAATGTATAAATAATAAGAAATCTAAAATTTGTAATCGGATGAATAAATTGCTTTTGGTTATTTCAGTTTGAGTAACTAATACAAAACAAACAAATTAAACAAAAAACAAAGTTATAAGCCATACCATCACCAGCGACATCGAGATTCCCTAGATCACCAGCATGGCGATTGACATCCGTAGGGCCACCATGCACCTTGCCAATAGGATCGAAATGTTCTCCTGTAAGCATGGAAAAAAACCAAGAGATTGAGCCTCGTAATATACTAGTAAATGATAAGATTTCACAATCCAACAGCTTTATAACAGATTGTATTGCTTGGCACATTGAAGAATCTTTAAAGGAAAATGCTAACTAAGAAAGGTAGAAAATTTATATTAAAAGATGTATCTGCACATTCTTCCATGTAGCTTTATTGTAGTTTTCAATGAAAACTTACCACGTGTGATTCCTTAACCAATGCCTCAAGGGCCCTGTAACCAAACGGGTTTAAATAGGTGCTACTTTATTCCACAATTCTAAAGCTCCGTCGTATGATCAAGCACGTTTTCAACTTCATGTGATTAGTTTATCCTTGCAGACCAATGATACCTACACCAACAAACGGCAAAAAGAGGATATCAGTACAATCAACATAAGCAAACAACAAAATCTCGACAACGGAGGAAGTGGTTAAATACTCGTCCCGCCATCAACAATACACTTCTATTACTCTTTTTTTTATTCTTAAAATACCCTTAATTTTTATTTATGTTCTCTAATTTTTCGAACTTCACAAACCCTCCCTTTAGAAGCATGATGTATGAACATACTTTCGGTGAATACTTTCTAGAGCGGTAGATTTGATGTTCTGATCAAAAATAGTTTTTGAAAGTATAAAAAAAATCCATTCAGAAAGTATTTTTTATAACATTAAAATTACTATTCATGAACTTGCTTCCTTAAAGTTTAAAAAACAATTTCATTCTGTAATTGACGAAATCATACCTTAGGAATAGATTTCTTCAAAACAAAATCATCAAGTACCTTCTTTTTTATGTGGCTAATCAGTGTTGTGTATGTCGTATTAAATAAATTATAAATAATTATAAATAAAAATGTAATTTAAAAACATTAATTCATATTTTGTATTTAATTTAAGAAACAATGAAGATAAAGTGAAAAATTAGAGTTAAAGAACAATAAAATTGATAGTAAAAAAGTAAAATTTAAAAAATACAAAAAAGAGGTGTGACCATCTAAATTATTATTGAAGAGAGGAATCAAGAACTAAAAAATATTAAAAAAAATAATCAAGGAACAACAATCACATAGAGATGAAGTATAAGAAGATAAGTGAAGAAAGGAGATGAATAAAAAAATATTTAAAAAATAAATTACTTAAAAGTATATTTTGGGATTTTTTTATAAAAAAAGAAGAAGAAAGAATACGTATTTATAGAAAAAGAGAAGGGGTATATATTAACTAGCATACAATATGAGTTTTTTTTTTTTTTTTTTTTAACTTAGTTAGCCCTTGTTGCACCCATGTAGCCCAAATTAGTTCCTATGGTATGTGATTATGCTCCAATCCAATATATATATGCCATGGGAACACAATACGCACACTATAGCCCAATTATAGCAAATTTAACTTAATTAAAATAAAATAATATATAATCCGCATCTTCTAAGTTATTAACTTTCAATTTACTAGGTAAACATCGTCTAATAACATGTTTTTAGTTTTTAATTTATATTTAAATTAATTTTAATTTTTTTATAAATTGCCTAATGTTATACTTTCTAAATTTATAAGTTTCAACTAAGTTAATTGTTTACAACTTTTTAAAATTTTAATAAATTTATATCTTAAGAATATTTTTTAAAATTTTAATTACACGGATAGGTTGAGTAATGAGTTTTGTATTTTCGACATGTGACTCGATCCAGTCATATAATAATAATAATAATAATAATAATAATAATAATAATAATAATAATAATAACCATAAGAATAAGAATAATGTTTGGATGGTCATTTATTTTAAATTTTATTTTATATTAATTAATGTTAGTTGTTTGAGTTGATAATAATATAACAAATCAACAAATTTATTTTGAAATTTAGTTTATATCATTTTTTAATTTATGGGTTAATAACGTATTTGCATTAAGGTATCGAATGATTTACATATTTGTACAAACTGACCCAATTCAATCCATTGAATTTTAATCGAGTTAGGTAACAAATCCATTTAAATTCGATCCAAACCAAACTACTTACACCATTACTAATTAAAATGTGTTATCTTAATTTGATAAAATACATAAATCATATACCCATTGAAAGACATGCATTCTAATTGGTTAAGATAGTAAGTAATATTAATTATGAGAGAAAAGTAATATATATCATGTACTCTAATTTATTAAGAGAAATATGACTATTAATTAAGAGAAAACAGTAGTATAAGAGTAATTTTAGAAATATATATATAATAGGACAAATTTATTATTATAAATCAAATTAACTACTTTATTTAATCTTGTTAAATTGAATATTTGAATCTTATATATAAAAAGTGACTTTATTTTCTACATATCATAATAAGTGTTGTCTTCAGATATTTTGTTGATTTTATAATCAAATTTTTTTATTAAAAACCATGTAGCATAATATTATTAGATGTATAAAAGGATAACTAATACTACAAAACATAACTCTAATTTTAGGACAATTTTTCTTTTCTAATACAACACTTACTACGGAATAGAGAATCATAAAATAAACTATACTTAATTTTACCCATCTTGAAAGTTATTAGAAATTCCTTATTTTGGCAATTACAGTTGGACTGATCCTTTTAAAGCATCTCTACTTATATATTGATGTTATTATGCTAGTGCCCTATAAGAATTTTAGCAGCTCTTGCTCTATTGATCGACATTGTGTTTGGATCCGCGATCATGTAGCTTGGACGTACGTGCATGGCTAATGCAATAAGTAGTTACGTAAATGTTGGACAAATGCGGACAAGGATGCTTAAGCAAACATGCACTGACTTATTCAAACTAAATTCATCACTATAACAACCCCTCTTGTTCTTTCCTGCATCAGTAATCCCACCCTCAGAAAATTAACATGGCCTCATCATCTCCCTCTCTATCTTTCACGGTGCGTAAGTGCCAACCCGAGCTAGTGACTCCTGCTATACCCACTCCTCACGAAACTAAACTACTATCTGACATAGATGATCAAGAATTCCTGCGTTTCACTTATTCAATCATACAAATTTATCGTAACGAATCATCGATGGCAAATAAAGACTCCGTGAGAGTGATTCGGCAGGCACTAGCGCAAACACTTGTGTTCTATTATCCATTTGCAGGTAGACTTAGGGAAGGGCGTGGTCGCAAATTGATGGTGGATTGTACTGGGGAGGGCGTCACATTTGTTGAGGCTGACGCAGACATAACACTTGATCAATTTGGTGACGCTCTCCAACCTCCATTCGTATACTCTAGTGAATTCCTATGTGATGTTCCAGACCCGCAAGAAGAACTTACAACCTGCCCCCTTCTACTCATACAGGTCCCGGTCCTTCTAATAATATATATATTACCTTTAGAAAACAAAATCATACAACAAACCACACGAGCTTTTTGGAAACAAAGGCAAATATCTATGGAAAGAG